CATAATTCTGCTCGAAATATTATCAAGCAACTAAATTAATGAAAAACTAAAAAGCAAACTTCAATTTTTTTTTAAAGAAAGTTCTGTAATATAAATTTTTATACTTGCAAACCAACGGTGACACTGAGGAGCGAGATTGTGTTGGTTTTGCCAAGCTTCAGTTTAATGTCTTTCTCCATGATGAATTCCAAGTGATCACTTGAACCCCATTGAGACCCTAGACTCAGATAAAATTTAACCTCAACGTAAGTAATAAGAAGCAACCCTTGATACTAATCACTGTATTTTATAGTAATTGACATAATTAAATGGAGATTATATAGATAAGAGCTCGACTCACCGACGTGCTTCCCGTTAACAAAAGCATGAACGATGTGTCCGTTGGTGTGGACATGCAAGGTTATCTTCTTGCCCACGAGACTATCGTTCTTGCTCAAATCAAGACTGTATAACATTCATGAAGAGACCATTAAAAACTGTGGTAATTCCATAACCAAAACAATCAAAAACACCATATAATACATCAGAACATTCATTGTATTTACCTAGTTAGATACCACAAGTAGTCGCTAGTGTCATTAGTGACGGTCTTTTGATCCAAAAGTTTGTTCACGGTCATCACGCTTCCTTTAGCTAAGCCATCATGCAAGTGCTCGGGATGCTCGGGCCTCCAATCCCATGTCAATTCGTAGGGCTCCGTTTGATCGTCAGCTTCATTGGGCAGTTTCACCATTAGCGACTGTTGGGTATTAACCTACACAACATTTAGGGTTTCATCAGCACTAAAGCACACTTGAAGAGCTTTAGCAATGTACCGAATTCAAAATGTAAGAGTCCGATTTTCACCTTCGCCGTGTTGTAGACCTCGGTGTAGCAGTCAGGGAGGATGCTGACGGACCAAGCCGGGACTGTGTAATTGTTCCCCATGAGATTGACGGTGAAGTCTTGGTTTGAGTTGGCATTGCCCAGGAAGCAAATTTGCTTCCCGTCGTACATGTACACGGTGCCCTAATCGACCAACGTAAATATATATAATTATTATCGGGGACATCGAGGAGACTATGTTCGATTAATTTCAAATCTCAATTAATTAGCTAAATTACTCACCGACATCATGTTTCCGTAATCCACATCCCTCTTCACTCCATGCGTAAGGATCTCCTCCATGGACATGATCAATTCGTGGAGCCGTTTCAGATGTCCCCATTTTGGTTGATTCAAGTTACCTATCGAACGCGACGAGTATTAGCAAAAAAATTAAACAAAATTGCTTTTTTTTTGTTTATAGTAATGGAAATTGAAACTAAAAAAACAGGTAAATAAAAACCATATTCATCAAGTGGTGCATCATAATCATATGATGTGGCGATATAGGGACCGCCGGCTGTTCTACCAAAGTTCGTTCCGCCATGGTACTACGAAGGGAAAAAAAATAATTGTCATAAGTACATTAAAATAATATAATTGTAATAAGTATATTAATAGATTAATATATATACTTACCATATAATAGTTCTGAAGCGATCCACCATATTGGAAAAATCTTGCTACAGCAAAAGCAAGATCCTCGGCAGTCCTATGTGGATCCTTCATACCCCAATCCTTGAACCTAGTTAATTTTTCAAATTAAACCCGAATTAGAAAACTATATTTTGGACATTACAAAAAAATTTGGAAGAAAACAATTTTTCCCTTACCATCCAGACCAGTTCTCAGTCCACCATTTAGGACTCTTAGGATTATTAGGAGAAAATTGGTCGCAATACCATCCATTACATGTATTGATCTGCGCAAGTAAACGAAAACATGTTAATTCACTCAAAAATAATTCTTTTCTTTGGGAATTTCACATTATATTGATGAGTGATTACAATTAATCATACCAAAGGCAATGGGGCGTCATTCTGTTGACACATGATCCATGGAACATCGACACCATAACTTAGGGCCAATTGCGCGCACCAATTCATGTATGACTTCCCGTTGTTGCCATAAGCCCATTCCACGTTTCCGTACTCATTCTCAATCTTGACCAAATCACAAAGTAAATCTCAAATCAATAAATCAAAATTAAACCACTTAATTAACACGTAATCGATTTAATTAGTAGTGAAAAAGGTTAGAAGCTAGACAACAATCAAACCACTTAAATAAAACCCAAAAAACAAAAATTAACCGAGTATGAAAGTCGATTTACATACCTGAGCAACGATGATGGGGCCACCTTGGATAGCAAAAAGATTATGCCTTTTCATCATGTCTACTATCACCGTGACAAACGTTTTCATCTCATTCTAAATTACAATACAAAATCATAAAAAAAATCCATCAGAAATTCAAATAAGAGATCTTGAAATTAAAAAAAATTAAAGCTAAAAATTGCATAAAAATTATATTACCTGATAAACGGTGTTGTTTGTTCGCATCTCTATACCGGGCAAATTATGCAACCAGACGGGAAATCCTCTGAATATAAAAATTGGAAGTAAAAAATAATTATTATTATATGACTCATAAAAGGAAAAATAAGGCAATGCACGTTCATAAATACTAATGCAATTCCAAAAATTTTAACAATAATTACCCATAATTCCACTCCGCACATACATACGGGCCGATGCGAAGAATGGCGTAGAGCCCGGCGTCTTGAATGGTTTTGATAAACCGGACTAGATCCTTATTTCCCTCGAAGTCGTACTAAAAACAAAGAAAACACCCCACCACATAAACGAGAATTAAATTCACAATTTAGAGTAAAAATTTACGAGATAAAAAAAAAGAGAGTAAAATTCACAACAAAATAAAGAGTAAATTAGTAAAACACAATAAGTTCTTCAAAAATTGTTGAAATACCTGACGGTACAGGGGCTCGTGGGCATTCCAGAAAACGTAAGTCTCAATGGCATTGAGACCGCCTTCTTTTGCTTTTCTAATGAGATCACCCCACATCTAACAAAAAAATTGCAAAAATTAAAGATTAAGTTAGAATCTGAATTTGCGAACTAATACATAACAATTAGCACAAACACGTCGAAAATTCAGCAAATTCACTTGAAAAAAACTATAAAAACACGAAAAGGCTTTTACCTCAGGAGTGCTACGAGGGTAATGAATCGAACCGGAGATGATGATCTTGCTCCGACCATTGATCTTGATCCCCCTTTCATTGTACGAGACGTCAAGAGGGATTGCAGAGGCGACGAGAAGGAAGCTCAGAACACTTAGAACAGCAGCAAACCTCATACCGAGGGTCGCCATGTCCGTCCGACCAGCACTATTTCTACTCTAAACTCTGCTCGCAGAACTGCAATTGCAGACTGCGAAACTCGAGCACTATATATATATAACGAGAGCTCATAACAGCACTCGGAGAAGGAGGAAAGGGTGAGACTTATCGAGTGTTTCGGGATTAAGACGAATTAAAATCTTTCTTATCTGATTGGATAGGGTCTCTCGATGCATGCTGTTTCTTGTTACGAAGTATTATCCATGTACGAAATTAATGATTAGTTAGTATCTTAATCGGACGATGTTCTGTCGTTTTTTAATTTGGTTACCAAACCATTATGGACGAATGTCGAGACTTTATCTTAGTAAACGAAATTGCATCCTCAATTCGAAAGATAGAGTTCGAGAAAAACAAGATATTCTGGCTTAACTAGAACAAGGTCATCCTCGAGAAGCGATAAAATTTGAATTTTTTTCTATTTATGTGTTTTTCATTATCTAAATTCTAAAAGGTGGTCTCTTAAGTTTTTTTGTCATGTCTTAATTTCTAACACGAGAGCTTTTTCCTTTATAGGTGGAAGACGTGATGTGGGAGGTGATGTTTCCTCTGATTAATTGGAGTATATGCATTGTCTTCTTTTTAATTTCTTGTTGACAGCTATTTAAATTCTTTATCTGTAATTATAGTTTTAGGAAAAGATGCTGCAATGGATAAGCAAGATCATGAACTAAGAAGTTTGAAATCGTGTGGTTTGTTGTTGCGAGCCTCAGTGTCCACTTTATCTTATTTTCTAACAAAAAAGAAAATTGATTGGGCCTATTTCACTATGATTTAATTGGCTACATGTTCACCTTCGCAAGTACACAAAAAAAAGGTAACACATTTTTAAAAATTCAGCAAATTTGTTTTGAAAAACCTCAATTGAACAAAATAATAACATGTCTAGGTCTGATGATGGGAATAAACTTGGGTTCGTCATAGTTTCAGTTAATCTATGTTTTTGGTCTGAAAATATTGATATGTTAACTATAGCATATACCATTCAAGCAAATCTTTATACTTTGAAAATAAATTTCCGGCACATACAAGTCTATGAATTTTTTTCTTTTATATCATAATCCGAATAAATTGGAAATTAAATAATATATGAGAATATATCAAGAAGATACATTATCTTTATCTATATTTTAAAATTTAATTTTGATAAGAAAACAAAACTCAGAGAAAGGCAAATCAATAAGCTAATGATTATTTGGTCGAACGTGGGTCGGGCATGGCAATCACAAAAGCAAAGTGAAGTGACACGTGCGGAGCATGAGAGAGAGCATTTTCTCAATTTTTCCATTAAACATTTGTAATAGAATTACAGATATGAAAGCAAAAGAGAAAAACTACCAAATCCTTGGACGCAGATATTTCATAGGCGGATCTGTTGGAAACAATCTACTTATTAATTATCTTTGGTAAGATTTCATATGGAAGTACGTTTGCGCAACGAAAATATTTAGGACACTAACAAGAACAAAGGATTAAGGGTGTGTTTGTTTCGGTTAAAATGTTTTCCGGGAAAGTGTTTTCCGGACTTTTAGTTGTTTGGTTGTCTAAAAATGATTTGGTCAATGGAAAATAATTTTCGGTCAACACAAATATCATGTTTAATTTTCAGAAAGTGAATTCTTGGACGTGAGAAGATGAAAACATTTTCCCCTCTTTATCGGGTTCTCTCTCACCTTTGGTCTTCTCGAGTCCCTCCCGCCTTTCTGAGGTACACTTGCTCTTCCTTAGCTCTTTCGCTCGCTCTTCTTCAGATCTTCTTCACTGACGCTCTTCTTCTTTGTTGTTGAAGGTTCAGTTCGTCTTCTTCGCCATTGAAGGTCCAACTCGTCTTCAATGACGCTCAACACAGCTCTAGGTTCTCTCTCCCCTCTCCAATTTGAAAATAATCTCGGAAAATTTGATCAATGCTTTACATCGTGGACTTGATGTTGATTCTCTGTGCTACGGTCATTTGATTCTCGTTTCAGTTCATCTTCCGCGAGCAAAATTTTAGAAATCATATCCTAGAGATTCCATTTATCTAAGCGCTTGACCTTTTTGCTCGATTTGTCGTTGATTTGCTCGAAATTTTCGACGATATATGGTTTTATGAAAACACATATCAAAGGTAATCTATCAAGATGAGTCGAGTTGGTTGTTGTTTCATGGTTTGACGAATATTCCACTTTTATCATTGGTTAGGGTTCCGTTCTTGAGATATGTGCTTTTATGTGTAACATATCATGCCCTGTTAGGCAAAGTGATGGGTTTACATGTTTCTTCAGGAGTTGGTTTTGCTCTTGCTGAAATTGCGACCCTATTTTTAGCTTTCTTAGGGCTGGATCTCGTTTGTGTTCTTTTTTCTTTTGTTTGTTAAAATGTCCAGAGGTAAAGAAAATCATTGATTATAAATTTTGTTGCAACACCTCGTTGAAATCATTCATAAGCCTTGTTGTTTAGAATCTATCATCGTGCACATGTGATGCTGCTGTTGCACTGAGTCTAGCTCTCTTGAGCAGTAAACTCAGCGGAATCAAGTTTTGAATCGTGATAAGTCTAGCCCTCCTGAGCCTTTGAACATGTTTGTTAAAATGTCTAGTTAAGCTGCACTTGTCTTTACTTTTTGATGATATTTTTTTATTTTATTTGAATGCTTGTTGTTGGGTTTACCTTTGAGATAAAACCTGTGTCTTTACTAACTCTGAGATTAAGAAATGAACCCTTTTGGTCTTTTGATACTCAAGTTGATGTGGTCTTAGCATGTTGTATCTTACATAACTTCATTATGGGAGTTGACCCTAATGATCCTTTTATGCAAGAACTAAACATAGAGGTCGAATCTCAAAGTCAAGAAAGAAGACATCAACAAACACAAAGAGAGGAGAGGGAGGAAAACAGAGAGTGGGCAGCAAAAAGAGATGGTATCACACGTGCAATGTGGGATGACTTCAGTGGGCATAGAATGAATGTTTAATACTTGTATCTTCTTATAAGTTGTCTGTTGTTTTTAATGTGACATGAAGTATAGATTACTGCTTTGTGATTGAAGTAGTTCTTGTTAATTCGAACTTGATTTACCACTCTACATCATTGTGATGTTTCCCTTGTCTCAATAGCAAAATGACAATCTATTTTTGTGTTATTCTTTGTTTGTCACTATTTCTTGCGTTGGATATATCCAATACTGTAGAAATGGGCAAAACTAGAGAAGGGAAGACCAAGCATTTCAATAGAAGAGAAAGTGGATATTGACAAGCATCTGACTTTGGATGTTTGTTCTGGATGGTATCTGAACATTATACTTGTTCTTTGATTACTTCTTGTAGTAGCTATCCAAGCAACTCTTTGTGGCACAATTTTTTCCTAATATTTCATTGGGAAGATAGAGACATTAGTACTAAACTCAACTATGAAATGTTTAGCTCATGTACTGCATGGGATATTGTGAGGAAAAAATGTAATAGAGACCTCTTGCTTTCAATCTGATTGCCTTTCGAAACTATACTTGCTATAGCAGCCTGAGAGACACGAACCTGCTTGGCAGCTTGGGTTGCTCAGCGAAACAGGAAATGTCCTCCGCAGAGTCCGCGGGCAGTTCAGGATAACTCGCGGAGAGCTATGCGGAAGGCGTATCTCTCTGAAGAGTGTCGAAAGTATTGAAGTGATCGATGCATCGTGTTGACTTGCTCTTGTAACTGGGAAATCAAGTCCATTTTCGATTTCCTATTGCAGAGTTTCTAATGCATAAGTAGCTCACAGAATTCCGCAAAGAGGAGTGCTAGAGATAGTTGCGTGTCGAAAAGAGAGAAATGCGCATAGAAAATTAGGGACGCCCACGACGGCGAGGTAACAAAGGAGAGACGTCAATGATGAAAGATCTTATAAGAGGGGCTAGAGACAGAGAGGGAGAGACACTGGCAATCCGATGATTTTCCTGGAAAATGGTTTTCTGGAAATCGTTTTCCTTAATCATGGAGTTTTCTCCCAAACAAACACATCCTAAATTCATATATAAATCCTCCAATAAATCTCACATAAGAGGCACATTTGAATAGCTGGCGTGTCCCGGTGCATCTTTATCCTTTTTTGTAACACATTTGGAGACTTTTGAAATGTATATAATCATGTCAATTACAATTTCGCCAATGCCGGCGAGGGCAAGCTTCAACAATGGCTAGCGAGGAGCCCCCAGTTGCCGCGACCGACCAAGGGAGAAGGAAAGCAAAAAATAAAAATTAAAAAGGGAAAAAGATTTTTTAAAAAAATTGAAAATTGTCACGTCAGCATCAGTCGGACGGCCGGCGTCCATATCAACGCCGGTGGCCCAAATTAGTTAGATAGACTGAATTGGCACAAATGCAAAAAATTTAGGACTAAATTGTAATAATTACAATATATTTAGGACTGTTTTAGTAATTTTCCTTATTTGGAGACTTTCGAAATATATATATAATCTGTAATCATGTCAATTACAATTTGAGAAAGGCCAATATATTTTATCTTGTTATATAATCGAAAAAATATTTAGGGCAGAGTACTTTAGAGCCTTTGCCCCCACCTTCGTAGATAATTTTCATCGTCACTTGCATGCAAAACGACGTGTGTCCCTCCTCCGCCGCGCGCCCTCCACGTGTCGCTCCCTTGCGCAGAGAAGACACGTGGCAGCTGTTTGCTCCACTCCCAGCTCCACCTGTCATTCCAATCTCGACTTTCTCCCTATCTACCGATTCAGCAATACCTTAAACTCTGAAGAGAGGAACCAAACACACGTGAACAGCTCAAAAGAAAAGAGAAAAATGGCGTCGAGGCAAGCTAAGGAAGAGAGGGCCGAGACGGCGGCGAGGATTGCGGCCTCCGACCTCAGGGACGTGAACCGCGACCGGGAGAGGGAGCGAGAGTACGAAGTGGCCGGAGAGAGAGCGGCCACGTTTGACACGACGGACCAGCCGCAGGAGCAGAGGCCTGGTGTGATCGGGTCGGTCCTGAGGGTGGTCCAGGACACGTACGAGCACGCGAAGGAGGCGGTCGTCGGGAAGAGCCACGACGCCACCGAGACTGCCCGTGAAGGCGCGGAATACACGGCTGACAGGTCCCGCGAGGGCTACGACGCCACCACGGGCAAGGCCAAGGAGTACAGGGACTACACGACCGAGAAGGCAAAGGAAACCACCGACTCGGCGGCCCAGAAGGTGAAGGAGAAGACGGGGGAGGCGGCTGAGAAGGCGAAGGAGACGAAGGAGTCGACCAAGGGCAAGCTCGGGGACTACAAGGACTACGCAGCTGAGAAGGCAAGAGAGACCAAGGACTCAACGCTGGGGAAGGCAGCTGAGTACAAGCACTACACTGCCCAAAAGGTCGAGGAGGCGAAGAAGGCCAGCGAGTACAAGGAATACACGGCGCAGAAGGCCGGGGAAGCCAAAGAGAAGACAAAGGAGAAGGCAGGCGAGTACAAGGACTACGCGGCACAGAAGGCCAAGGAGGCGAAGGAGAAGGCGAGGGAGACCAAGGACGCAGCATTAGGGAAGGCAGGGGAATGCAAAGACTACGCGGCTGAGAAGGCGAAAGAGACCAAGGACTGCACAGCGGAGAAGGCGAAGGAAGGGAAGGGCACGACGGTGGGGAAGCTGGGCGAGCTGAAGGACTCTGCCGCGGACGCGGCGAGGTGGGCCATGGACATGCTGTCTGGCAAGGAGGAGGAGACCAAGGAGAAAACGTATGAGAGCCTTGAATCTGCCAAGGTGAGAGGGTCTCTATAAGTGTTTTTTTTTTTGGTTTTCACACGACTATACGTTATGATAGTATTGACTTGATGACTGATTGGTGATGCTACGGAGAATGGAGACATTAATTTTGGTGAATTTTTCAGGAGAAACTGAGGGAGACGGAGGAGGAAGCGAGGAGGAAGATGGAAGAGTTGAGGGTGAAGGAGAGAGAGTACGAGGATGACGCGGCACGCAGGGCCAGAGAGAACAAGGAAGCTTGGGACAAGGAGGGAGACAGGTCAAATATAATTCACAAATGTTTGGATTGTTTTACATATTTGCGTTGAAAATGTGCTCCAACTTTGGATCGTTCAAATATTCTTGGCGCTCCATGTGTTACAAATTCGGTAATGGTTTTATATGTATGTTTTAATGTGGTTAGGGGCAAAGAGGAGAGAGGAGCGATTCTGGGCGCGACAGGGAGCGTCATGGGGGCAATCAAAGAGAAGCTGACACAGCCAAGCGACAAGAAAAATGAGTCGCGCATGGCCGGCAGGGATGAAGGCGAGGGGCGGGACCAGAGGGCCGAGGCCGAGAAGGTGGTGGAGGTCTATGTCGAGGACACCCGCCGGGGGCCAAAGCCTCCAAGCTGACGGCAGCCGATCAGATGAGCGGCCAGACTTTCAAGGACGTTGGGCGCATCGACTACGAAGGGGTCGTGTGCGTCACCACGGACCGCCATGGCAAGATGTGAGGCGTGCCTCGATGAGGCAAAGGCTCGGATGGCTAAGATGACACGTTATTGGCTGTGACGCAATGCTGTGCTCGTTACCCTTTTCTTTGTCGCATTTCCTTTTGGTTTCATCTCGGATTTTGCTGGTTTTGTTGTATGTAACGTGATCATACATGAAAATAATCTTACCAAGTATATTTCTGTGTGTGATGGACAATGGCGACTAGTACTCAGCTAGGGAAGTCTAATCCGAACACCATTCGAACAATACACCCCCTGTACCATTCACACGACAACTGAGCAAGCTCCGGGAGTCTTATTTCAAGGCAGAAAGGGCACTTGTTACATTCATTAATCTCTCTCTTCCATAGATTTTCGATATTACATTGAACTTGATCACACCCTCCAAAGGAAGTTCTTAATCTTTGCCGCACTGTTCAAAAGAGTGTCATCAATGGAGTGTGAAGATGAAAGCTCTCTAATCAAACCCCCTCCTTTGCTCAGCTTTTTGAAGGTGATAAGCTGATCTTAATAGTGAGGGCAGCCCTCCTATTAGCTGGCCATACCAACTTTGACCCCAGTACATGGCTTAAACTCTCTCCTCTCTATCCTTTCTCATGTGGTTCTTCCATGCAAATTGTCCCTTGAAACACCAGTCTTGCAAACCTGTATCAAATAACATGTCTTGAAAGGGTTGGAAATTTCTCCTATCCTTAGCTTACATCCCCACTCTTCTCTGAAGTGACGAACCATCATTCACATTCTCTCTCAAGTGCCCCCATTTCGGTAATCTCTCATCAAAGAACACCCTTGAGGACAGCCATCTTGAGAGATCTTAATTTCTCTCACATTTTGATTTACAGACTCTTCCTTCCTCCTTCCTTCATTCCTCCATCGATCCTTTGACTTTCTCTCTTCCTGCCACATGCCAGCTTCCTTGCCTGAGATGTTCTCATCCATGGACCAAGCTTCACTTTCAACTCTGATTCATCCCACCAGCATGTCCCTTCAGTGTGACCAAGCATCCTGCGGGAGTAGCAAAAATCAGCAACTCTTCCATGCTCGTTGTGTTCCTGGCAAGTTTCACACATATCTTAAGCACACTCATTATGCCCTGTATATCAAACTCATATAACAGAACTATGAGCCCCTCTCAGACTAGGACTTTTACTTCAATAAGTAAAAGAAGCCTTATGGGGTTGAGACATCTATTTCCACTCTGGCTCTTAGAAAAGCCCGACACGACCTGTTCAAAAACATTATAGGTTCCGCCTCTAACTGCTGACCAATAGAGTTCACAACCATCGTCATGTGAGCTAGCATCGGCACGTTGATCTGAACCCCTAATGTAATCGTAGTGAAATTAATTTCCTCAACCCTTTGATGCATGTCCAAGCGTTTCAGGCAGAGGGCTGTCAGACATGTACCATTTTGTTACGATGCGGGCATGAATAACCGAAACAACTCGAGGAAGGTTTAAATTGCAGAAATAAAATTTGAAAAAAATGGACTTTTACCTGATTCGGTAGTGTGCCTGCTCCAGAGGGAGAGAACAAAGAGATGGTTCCAATACAATCGACTAGATTAGATTCGAATCCACAAAAACTAAGCGGTGTTCTCTCGGCTTTCTCAGATGACCTCTCGCTACTAGCTGTGTTTCTGGCAAGTTTCACACACATATTAAGTACACTCGTTATTGCACTGTGCATCAAACTCAATAACATAACTATGAACCCCTCTCAGCCTTCGGACTTTTACTTCAATAAGGAAAAGAAGTCTTGTGGGTATCTATGTCCCTTTTCTTGCATCACCCTACGATTTAATTTACAAGATTTCAATTTGAGCTTCTCTAATATGGGCTGGTTTCTTTGCAATTAAATCAAGGGTCGGATTTCAGATCCATCGATGTCAATTTCGAACCCATGATGGACCAAGGCCTCCTCTCCAGCACCTTAGAGACTCCCCGTGGATGATCAAAGGCTAAAGAGGAACTCGTGCCGTGGAGACGTTGCAGGCTTTTCCCCCATGCCTTGTGCAGGATCCCTTCTACAGCTCCTTGATTCACCAGCTTGGGACACAAGGTTTGGCCCATAAGCATGACCTCACCTCAAGCATTGGGTCAGTCTGTCCCATACTCTCCCCATGAGTAAATGAGATTTTTGCCTCTTGCAGCCGTTACTGAGAGGAAAAGAGCGCAAGGAACGGTGAAGACAGCGAAAGTGATGATCAACAGTAGGACATTGAATGTTTTGCATAAAGGGATGTGCAATTGGGAATCGGTCCCGTTACTGGTTCCGAGTGAAAGACCACTCAGGAACTTGACCAACCGCAATGAATTTGGAGCTGGTTTCATGAAGCCTAGAAATCCTAGTTTTTCTCCGTCTCTTTTTCTATGTTCTCTCTAACCTTTGCCGCACACTTCACAACTCTCTCTCTCTCTCGATCTCGATCTCGATCTCGACTCACCCTCCTCCTTCCTTACTCGCTGCTCGAACCCTCACTTGTTCCTAACTCACATTCGCTCGCTCACCTTGATTTATCTTTTACATTGAATCGTTTTGTAAAATGAAATCAAAGAAAGGAAAAAAAAAAAGAAATTTTGGTTCTTAGATAGAATTGGAATCTGAAAAAATAAGGTAGGTCTAAAATTGGTTCCAATGCAAACAGAATAGGTTTCAGATTCCAAAAACTAGGAACCGATTCTAATAAGGTAGGTTCCAAATTTCAAGTTTAGAACTTACTCATTCTAAAATCGATCGTCCCTATTTCGCATAATAGGATAATGAATATGACATGTGAGTAGAAATCCCAAGATATAACGATGTTGAGAAAATCGATGATGTAAGACAAAAGTCAGAAAGAACGTTATTAAGTACAGACAAAACAATAAGAAAGAATCCTCAACTAAAAAGTAATATTTGGCTCCCATCTTGATAAGAATTAGGTAACTTTTGTCCCATAATGATATCATTTTTATCGGTTCACTTACAGACTGTTTCCCCAAACAGCCTCACCATGCATTATTGCTTTATACAGTGAAAATCAAATCAAATCAAATCAAATCATGGTACTAAGAATCAATCAATCACACAGTGCCATGAACTAAGACAACTCTTCTCTTGGTACTAAGAATCAAATCAAACGATGGTGAGCCAGAAATGCGACTCAATCGGCCCCATGATCTTTGGGCCTGGCCCATGATCCTTCGGGAACACGCAAGTCAATTAATAAATTATGTTGTCTCCCATACATCAATGTAATAAATTTAAGACTTTTATGGTACTTTCCCCTCAATAAAAGCGGCAACGGATCATAAATTTGATTCTTCTAAAGGTTAAATAGAGATGGGCATCTCCCAGATCCGTTCCGATGTGCGAGTGGGATATTCAAGTTGCCATTTGTGGTTTCGAGCGTTCCCACTTGGCCGTATTCGTATTGATGAATGCGCGGACGAGGAGCGAAAAGCAAACGAGGTGTCGGCACCAAACGAGGTGCTTCTTTCTGGACAGGAGGACAGCAAGATGTCTCGTCTTCCTGGGATGTCGTCCAAGCTCGTCGTCAGGCGTGATGGGGGACAGGCCGCGATGAAACTGTCCTTGCCAAGATTCTTTTGAATCGAATCGAGTCAAGAGGCCTGAGAATCGTGGAGCATCGCTCTCTCGGCTCGTCGTCATTGCCGACGGGTCGGAATCGGGACCATCTCTTCTTGGAGAGCCACTCGCGGTGTCGTGAAGTGTGTGGTGGGGATCTTCTTAACGAGTTCGTCGGCGCACTAATTAAGCATATTGACTAGGGGATATTTGGACTTCTCGAGTGTCGATTACACATGACAAGAGAAAATCATGGTACTGAAAAATTCTTAGCGAAATTCATCATATTGACCCTATGAATAGCTTAGTGATTCAAGGGCGCAGCCCGTTATCGAATGGAGATCTACCGGACTTCTATCCCCGTAGAGTTTTCATCATCTCTTACATCAAATTCGGATTCGTGTCCAATCTAATTTTCGGTTCTTACTTACTAAACCGGATTATTTTATCAACAAAGCTCTCCACCGTCTCTCTTTACTCAAGCCCCAACCCCCGCCGTCGTCACTCCTTCAACCACCGCAGTTGACGATGACCATGGTGAGCGCCCGCATACTAAAGGCCATGTAAGTTGGGAAAATTGATAAATAAAAATGCCCATTCTAAAATCTCTCATCTACGTCCCGCCAAGTTTTAGGATTCAAACAAACGAAAGAAAAAAAATTTAAGACTCGAATGCACTTCAGTAAAGGTGGTAACGATGATCCGCCTTGCATGGAAATTACTACTGGCCAGCTCGTACTTTGCTACTCCCTACTCTCTCTCTCTCTCTCTCTCAAACTCACTTTCAAACTTAAAAAAGGGCCCAAAATTTGATGTGACCAAAATAATAAAAGAAGAACTATGTGCACTGAAAATCATACTATTCATCAAAAAAATATAATTGAGTTTTAAAACTTATAAAAAGTGCAATCAAATTCAAAAACTTGGCAATTGTTACAATCAAGTTATTTCGTTAACTCCGTCCAACTTGACTAACGAAAAAATAATGACACGATTTTTTTAATATTTTATCTCTCTTACGTGACAATGACGTGGCTAAGATGACATCATTTTTATCCAAATCTGATTTTTAATACAATGTTTATTAAAATTAAATTTAAAAAATAAGTTTAAAAAAAAAAGGGAGACCCTTACCACACCATCATCGGGAAGGGCCGACGATGGTGGGGAAATGGTTGGCAAGGATCGTCGAGCCTCGGCCAAGGGCCCTGGCCCAGAACTGGCCCGGGGACGCCCACTGACCGAACACTCCCCCCTCCAAAAAAAAGGGGGGGGAAGAAAGAAAATATTAAGATAAACCACGTCAACATTTTCCGTTAGCTTAGTTGAC